TTGTTGTTGTTGCTTGTTTGTTTGTTTTAAAAGCTATTTGGTGATTGAAGTGGAAGGGGAGAGAAAAGCAATATAAAGCTAAAGGCTCAAACTTATGAACACAAATATTATAAGGAACTTTCAAGTTTATTTTGAAGAAAATTTTAAACGAGCAAAATGGTTTATGGCTTTTTTTTAAAGAAAAGACATGTAAATATACTGTTTAGAGGACAAAGGGGGAAAATACTGCTTCTATTTAAGATTATCGGCTTTGTGGTTTAAAGAAACCCTCAACGATGAAAGGCCACATATTAAAATGCAATTTAATTTCATAGACGAAGTAGAGATCTGTAAAAGCACCTGTTTCTGAGCTGTCACACCTTGTGGAAGGTGATAGTGAGACCTTGCCCCATGGCAGCCAAGACTGTCCACAGGCTGGATAGAAGGCATTCATCACCCAGCCTCAAGGAAACTGCTAATGCCCCCAGGCTGGGTAGAAGGCAGCATCACCCAGCCTCAAGGAAACTGCTAATGCCCCCAGGCTGGGTAGAAGGCATCATCACCCAGCCTCAAGGAAACTGCTAATGCGCTTAGTGGGTTTATCCCAACCCGGTCTAGTCTGCCCCAGAACTGATCCCATACACAGGCTGATCCTTCGCTCCCTAGTCATCCTCATAGGAGACTGAAGTACATTAACCAGAGGGCCAGTGTATTGATTTACAAGGGGGTATATTCCTTTCCAATGGCCAGAATGCTTCGATGACCTATGTAGGGCACATTCTTACTAATTTTGGAATAATTGGGAACCTGGATATATAATCTTGAGCTGTTTGGTGAATATGGAATCTGACAAAAAGTAGTGTGGGTCATTGTTGGGCTTTTTGTTGTTGTTGTTATTTGGGAAGATATTTTAAACTAGTTTATTTTTATAAATTGAAAATGATATATATATTTAAGGAAAAAGTGAAACAATTGTATGTTATCTATTATTGCATATTGCCCTAAAATCTGGCAGCTTAAAATAACACACATTGTTTAATCTCATAACTCTAGGGGTCAGGAATCTGCACACAGCTTAACTGTGTCCTCTGATTCACAAGGCTGCTGTCAAAGTGTCAGCAAGGGGTAGGGTCTTATCTGAAGGTTCAACACAGGTAGGGTCTGCTTCCAAGCTTACATGGTTGTTGTTGGAATTTGGTTCATTAAGAGCCTGAGTTTTGAGGGGCATTATTATTTACTTTGTCATAAATCCTGTACTGTCTTGTCTTGTGGTATTGGCAAGCATGGTCTTTGTTCTATCAAAGCGGTAAAATCCAAAACTCAGTGTGGGCTTGGGATGGCCTTTTGGCCTGTTGGTTCTGGGTCAGCCAAGTCTCCCTGCGTAGGCACAGGGGTCATCATTTCTAGCCTACTGACTTGATTCCAGGTTGGGGCTGGGGCTGGGAAGTGCTAGTCAGTCATTTTTTCCCCCTTCTCAGGAAAAGGGGCACTGAGGCATGGCAGGACTGAATTGGGTTCTGTTGGATCTCAGGAAGTTTTTCCTGCTCAAATATTCATCTTACTGTAGAGTCAGAATGGCCTGCCTGTAAGCCAGAACTTACTGTCCAACTCCAGCCCAGCCCCTGGCTCAGGAGTGTTTGGAGACGGTGTCACAACACAGTACGTAAATTAGCTGTATCCACGCTGACCCCAGGACTTGCTAAAAGAATTCAGCTGATTTACCTGCTAGTCATTTCTAGAGTTGAGCTGGGTATTTCTCTGCCACCCATAAGCTTCTGAGTCACAGTGATCATCTCTCTTGTGAAGTAACCTGCATTAGATATGGACCCCTCCCAGCTGCCTACAGACTTACAAAATGACTTCCAGCTCCATGTGTCTTCCAATCATGTATTTTGGGTGCCTCAGATGTGCCTGCTCTGGTCAGGGCCATCCTAGCCTACACCAGGCCGATCTTACTGATGTGCTGGAAACCAACTCTGGCAGGAAATCCCCAGTTTGTAGCCTTTACTGATTTTTGTGGTGTCTGTACTCCCATCATTACTGATTAGAAGCTACTAATGTGATGTCACTCACATGGAGTTGGGAAGAGAGACACACCATTGGCTTTCCTCTGGGGCCAGCAGCACACCGCTGCAGCTGCCTGTTGTTTTGCACGTTTTATAAAAGGCACCCTCTGGGTGGAGGAATTAAGAAAAGCTCCTGTCTGGGCAGACCTGTGCCACATGTACGTCCTGGGGAGCAATGGCAGGTGCCCTTCCCCCGCCACATGGCTGGTCGATTTTAGGTCCATTCGCCTCCTCAGTGGGTGCCTTTGTGTGATGCACATTCGGCACAACCTGACAGGGCAGTCCTGGCTCTGATTCATGATACTCTCTAATTAAGTAAAATGGACGAATAAGGGAAAAAGAACCTAAAAACCTGCTTTATGCAAATGATAGGATTATAGCTGGGTGGAGCATTAATTGTTCTTAAAATTAGTCTAATTAATAGAAGGCTATTATTGCTTAAAAAGAGCTCCCAACTACACCATCCCAGGGACATAATGATACAGCGAAAAAGACTTTGAACATGATACTTACAATGCTACATATTTAGATTCCAGCCCATAAAATAAATCTATTTCTCCTTAGTGATTTAAATCTTAACAACAGTCAAACCGAGACACGTGAATATTTTAAATTTAACATAGTTCTTTACTATTTAAGAAGCAGTTTCTTATAACTCCTGTTTAGCCTACCAGTTACTCTGTGAGTTATCCTCCCTCTTCTCTACAGATAAGGAAACAGGCTGAGAGATTAAATAATTCAAGGTGATTCAGAAAAATGGATCCAAACCAGTTCTTCTGCCTAAATCTCACACTCCTTTCACGATGTTTTATACAGACATATTTCAGTATTGCGAAAACAGACAACTTGAGATATCTCTGGTGAAGCCATTTTATTTTCCATAAAAATATAATTGTACAATGCTCTTCAGAAAAAGAAAAACTCCATCAATGCCCCCAAATACCATGTGGTTTTGTAGTAATTTTCCTCTCTTTTAAAACTAAAAATGTAATTGATAATACACAACTGATTTCTTGTGAAATACAGCAGTTATGTTTTTCAATTTTATTAGCTTTTATTTTAACTAAAGTTAAATCCGGTTTAAACCTATACTTTTTATAATGAGCCAAATCAAGCCTATTACAGTTCAAAGATGATATAATAAAATGCTAAATGGTGATGCTGATAAATACTGTCAGTTAGCTGGTAGACAGTGATATAAATTTGCTGCAGCAAGACAGATTCTGATTTAGATACATTAGATTTTAGATAAAATAGAAAAAAAAATTTAAGAACTTCAACTATATCCTAAAACTTGACCAGGTCAAACTTATTCCATGTTATACTCAGCTCTAATATACGGCAGGTCCATGCTAAATTAATGACAGAGTATGACTGGTTTAAATACATAAACGTATTTCCCCCCCCCACGACCTTCCTTTAGGAAAAAGAAAAAGGAAACATTACTCAGTCTACTCAGAGAGCAAGGAGAACAACAGAACAGATCCAGAGGGAGTCAGCTCCCTGCCTCCCCCACCCGCTTCTCTTTTCTCTCAGCCTGAACGCTGTTGTTACGTAGGTGAGAGATGCGAGGATTTCAATATGCTGCTCTCTAACTGGAATGGGGGAAAGAAATACTCTAGCTGTTTTAACCAGTGACATTTATTAGCATGCTTCAAGTGCCCAAAGCGTGCAGCCAGCACAATACCCCAAACAATCAGAACATTCCTTTTTAAAACCAAGGAACTTGCTCTTGGTTTGATCTCCAGAATACCAAATAGATGGGTTTAGGAATAAACTCAAATTGTAATTTACTTTCACCCCTAATTACATATCCTCTACCTGAGGACAAAGTCATTGCTTTTGCAAAGATACTAGGGAGAGGGGAGTAGCTCAAATGAGCCTGTAATTTAAGGTCACAACCAGAGAAGAAACACCTCAAGCACAATTGGGGACATTCCATTGAAGAGCCACATTCATTTGGAATGTTTGCTTTGAAAACAACTCTTCTGGGGAATCAAAAGGTACTGAACAAAGCAACATACAGTAAGTCTTGGGTTGTTTTGCAAAATAAAAATATACATTTGAATAGACCAGATGGCAACAACATACCCATTATAATCTGAACACTATATTTAAAACACTTAAATTCTGAAGGCCTGAATATTAACAGTCTTTAATCTATCTATATTTGTGATCCTAAGAAGACATTAAATACTCATAAACCCCCCAGTCCTCCAAAACAGAGACCCAGCAGATTGGGCTAGTGGTATACCAGCTGTCACACAGGACTAGACTAGCGATCTGAGTGCAACGAAAGCACAAGGATGTTTAGGACCTCAGGCTAAGGGGAGGCACTTAATTCAAATGCATGAATTTGAACTAGGAGAAGGGGGGAAACTACCTTGTCATCTGAAACTACGTGGTCCATCTCATGTTCCACCTCACAATCTAAACTACAATGCCTCCTCTTCAACTGCTATTTCATAACAAAACACATTTTGTTTGGAAGCTAAATTAGAGCAATGAACAAATATTAAGTTAGCAGCAACAAAGAACACAACTCCTGATTTAACATGGGAAAGAGAAGAGTGATAAAGTGTCTCAATGGGGAAATTGAAAGATTCCCAGATCTGAGTGTAGCATATTATGAGCGTGATTCCTCAGCCATCACTCCATGTAGTAGCCAGGAAGAAAGTAAAGGTAGCCGTGATGGGAACCGGAAAGAACGCCTCCGCCCTGGGGACCTCCTCCAGGCCCACTGGCAGCTGTGCTATGTACGACTCTGGCTCCCATGCTTCACGCCAGAGTGGAGGCACAGCCAGGGCTGAACCGGACGCACACCCACGGTGTGTTTCTTTCTGGCTCAGAACACATTCATAAGGAAACTCTAGTCAGGGAAGAAACTAAGTGTTCTGGTTATGGCTACTGCCTTAGATCTACCAACAATCTGTCCCTCATTTTGCTCTAGATCTCGAGGCAGAAACTCCAAATCAGCAGCTAATTTTACCCTATTTTCTTTAGAAAAATTCTCCAATTTAGTTGACTACACAACAAAATGTGTGTGAACATTCACTCCTGCCCTTCCCATATACATACGAGAATACATAACAGAAACACATACACACATATATACTCTGGGCTGTTAAAATGATATATGCTGCTGAAATGCCTAGCAGGTTACCTCTTGTTTAAAAATAAAACTTGACTAATTATTCTCTAAGGATGGATTAGGCCCTAGTAAACTTTATCAATACAATTTGAGAAAACAGCAACATAACTTTTAAATAGAGGCTGTCTTAAGGGCTTTCTTGATGGATTTTGTTAATGTGTATATCTTTTAAAACAGGCATATCACTATGGATTATAAAAATAGAAATGTTTCTATTTCTTAATACATATTCACAGCTTATGCTGGAATGGCTCACAGGAGAAATTATGGTTCGTGCAGAAAATAAACATGACTCAAGTAAATGTAAGGAAATAAGATTAGGTCCATAAAGGCTGAGAACTTACAGTCAGTAATCAGCCCATTTGGTTTCTTTCTGTAGGGCAATCAAAACCATGAAAGGAAGTGACACCTAAACACACGTACACATACAATTACGTGAATTACATGGAAAGAATATAAATTAACCAATTAAGCAATGTGGAGTTGAGGTGCAAAAATACAGTCTTCACCCATTCTCTCTACTCCTGTGCTTTCAAGCATTGCAACATGTTAAATGCCATGGGTGGCAATACCAACCAGAACAGGTCTGAATGTTTGTAAATTTTCTATGTGTTGAAAATTAAAGCAAAATCCTTTGAGATCTATGATCACACACTTTGGTAGAAACTGCAGATTTACAGAGATGACTACTGAGCAGCAGGTAGTAAATGGAGCCAAGAAGGACAGTCCTGCCCATTCACCCTCCATAGGAATCAGAATATTGGTTTCAATCACTGACTCATCATTTTATATGATCTTCACCCTGAAAAATAAATCAAAGTTACCAACGTAAGAATGTTTTTAAAGTCAATGAAGATGAAGATGGTTAATATGTTTTAAAATGCATGATTTTTTTTTAATTTAGAATCAACATGAAGGCTATTTTAAAATACAGACTAAAAGAAAACTGAACTGATTTGGCTCTTTTTTTTTTTTATTAATTCAGCTTAGATCAAGGCAAATGTTATCTCACCTAATAAAAGTTATCAAAAACCCAATCCTTCAATTTTGTAAAAACTTTTTAAAAGTTTATAACATTTCCTTGTAACTATTTCAGGTATTCCCAAAGCAATCATAATGATAATGAAATTGATACATGACATCTTCATTCTAAAATCTTTACAGTCTCTTCAACAAATGGTGCTAGGACAACTGTATATTCACATGTAAAAGAATTAAGTTGGACCCCTACCTCACACCATATAGAAAAAGTAACTCAGTGGATTAATAATCTAAATATAAGGGCTAAAACCATAAAACTCTTAGATGAAAGCATAGGGGCAAATCTTCACCTTGGATTTGGTTAGACAGATTGTTAGATATGACATGCAAAGCATGAACAGCAAAATTAAAGACAGATCAAATGGACTTCCTCAAAATTAAAAGTCTTTTGTGCATCAGAAGACACTATCAAGAAAGTGAAAAGACAACCTACAGAATGGGAGAAATACCTGTAAATCATACATCTGATAAAGATCTAGAATCCAGAACATGTAATGAACTCTTACAACTCTAACAAAATGAAAAATAACTCAATTAAAACATGGGCAAGGGACATAAAGAGATATTTCTTCAAAGAAAATATAAAAATGGCCAAGAAGCACATGAAAGGATGCTCAACATCATTAGTCATTAGGGAAATGCAAATCAAAACCACAATCAGATGCCACTTCATGAGGAAAGCTATAGTTTTCAAAAATGGAGAATAAAGTGTTGGTAAGATATAGAGAAATGGGAAACTTCGTATCCTATGGTGGTAATGTAAAATATTTCAGCCACTGTGGAAAACAGTTTGTGGTTCCTCTAAAAGTTAAATATAGAATTTCCATATGACCCAGCAATTCCACATCTAGGTAGATACCCAAAATCATTGAAAACAGGTACATGCATGTTTATAGGATCACTGTTTGCAACAGGCAGAAGGTAGAAACAAGTATCCATCAATGCATGAATGGATAAACAAACTGTGGTATACATATACAATGAAATATGATGCAGTCATAAGACAGAATGAAGTACAGATACATGCTATGAAGTAGATGAACCTTGAAAACATTATGCTCCATCAAAGAAGCCACACACAAAAAAAGTCAACACTGTATGATTCCATTTATACAAAATATCCAGAAGCAGCAAATCCATAGAGATAGAAAGCAGATTCATAGTTACCAGCGGCTAGAGGGAATGGGTAATAGAGAGTCACTGCTTAATGAGTTTGGAGTTTTCTTTTGGGGTGATGAAATGTTGTCTAACTAGACAGAGGTGGTAGTTGTATAACACTGTGAATGTGCTAAATGCCTCTGAATTGTTACTTTAAAAAGATTTACCTTGTATTATGTGAATTTCTCCTTAGTTAAAAAAAAAAAACCCCTTTACAGTGATGGGCTACTAGATAGATGTACTAGATAGAGACTGAACTAGGTGAGGACAGGTTCTGCCATCACAGCTGAGTGACCTTGGGTACCTTACCCAGCACCTCTGCTATTTCTTCGTCTATAAAAGTATAATTCTTTAACACAAAAAAAGCATAATTCCTTATTGGAGGAAATAAGTAAGATAAATATAAGTAAAAGTACTTTGTAAATACAAATACATGGAAAAAGTATTAGTAACAGTAACTAGAATGGTACATTCTCATTTATCAACTAAGTCTACTTGAAAAAATTTTCAGTTACTCTTTGCAGACCCCACTTAACACATTTCGGTATTTAGAATCTAACCATTTCACTTGCTTATCACTGTATTACATATGACATTAACATTTCATGTTATTTGAAGACATACCAAGGACAGTGGTCAAAAGAAACCCTACTTTCAAAGCCACTCCGCTAACTGCTCTCCCACGACTGCACTCACAGGAATTGCTGTCAGCGTCTGTCTTCCCAGCTTTCACATGCCTGCCTGAGTTCTGCTGCGATTTGTTCTGCTCTTCTCCAGTGAGTAGGGCCTTTATTTCAGAAGGGATTTTTCCTTGGTCCATTGCCATGCACCACTGCTTGTACTGAAATACATAAAATATATTTAAGTAAAATCTTACCAGTCAGAATTCAGCCACCACTGGTAGAAATCCTAGACGTAAGAACTCCCACAATGAGATGTCAAACTGGCTGCTGGGAACCCCACCTTCTACTGTACTTCTGTTCATAACCCAGGGCAGGGAGGAGGCCTGGAGTACTGCTCAGGTTAAAAAGGCCCCTCTGGCTAAAAGGATTCCCTCCCCTAGAGTGCCAATCACTAGAACTCAGCTCTTTTTGATTGTTTCCTGCTTTTCTTGGCAGACTTTCTTACCATTTCCAGTTCCTCTCTGAGGGCACAAATGGCTCTTTCCCGACTGGACACCAACTCTTCCAAATACTGATATCTCAGTTTTTTTCTGGCCCGGCACTCTCTTGCACTCTGCCGGCTCCTCTCAAGCTTTGCTTTCAAGTCGATTTTGGCTGGCTTCCGGCCACGTTTGCCCGGTTTCTTCACTTTGCCTCCAACCACCTTTAGCAGGAAAGAGAAGTAATTTTTTTTCTCTTAGTTCTGGGTCTAGGAAAGTGACTGCGGCTGCATATTAGCAAAGAAAACATTTACAAATAATAAATTAGAGCCTATGGAACTAAGAAAGCATAATCCCATCAAATGCCTTATGATTCTTTGCTTCATAATTTTTCTTCCGATACTTTTGATACCATGAATGTGTGAGAAGAAATAATGTTAAGTTTTCATTTCTTCAATAATAAACTTTCTTAATAATAAACTTTACATAGCTTAACAGTAAACTTTATGAACCATATGCAGCTGGATAATAAAAAATTAAAAGAGTGCCATTAAATATTTTCTTCACAAAGAATTTTTATTGACTTAAGAAAGTAAGTAAAAAAATCAACATTCAAAATTGTAAGTTCAGTATGATCTCAATATTATCAAACAACACATAGAAGGATATTAACAAAAGGTCAGTGAGGATTTTTCTGATGGGTGTGATTATAAATAGTTTTTCTCATTTGATTTTTTTTTATGATTTTTAAATAATTACAATTAGAAACATGTAAAATTTATATATAAAATTGTGTGTATATATAAATAAATAAATGTGAATCCTAAGCAATTTGGCTATAAATTCCCTCTTCAAATCTGTTGAGCCTAAAGGAATACACAGGAAGTCCCTGAAATCTCCGATAATTCTCTCCTGCCTTTAGAAGTCTATAATTATAACCCTAGACTGTCTCAGGAGATTTCTACCTGCTCCCACTGGTGTCACAAGACATTCTCTTGATATTCATTTATCTGCAAAGGCACAATTTTTTGGTGACTGGCGAAGTAATTCAGTCTTCTTTATTGTTTACCTTTGGAATCTCCCCAAGTTCTTATATAAGATGTAACTATGAGGTAAAGATGATGAATTTTTCAATGCATGAACCTGAACTTATACATAAGATGAATTTCCTTTAAAGCAGTCACTTGAAAGGGGTACTATTTATTCCAATGAACAAGCTTTCTTGGAAGCTGCCTTTGGAGTTAGTTTCTCACAAGCCACAACACAATATGCCGCATTATTTTAGAGTTATATCTTATTCTTTAAATTCCCAAACAATCTGATTGTCCACTCTGTTTATCTGATGAGGTTCTGAATGACGTCTAGTTCTTTCTGAAAATTACCCTCAGAGAATAAGAATGTCATAACTTCAGTATACTGAAAGGAATATCTCTGAGGCTTTAAAAGCAATTCTAAAAGAAAGGATGTAAAATCACTATCAATACTGTATACCAGCAATGCCCAGTACCCTATAAAGATCATATCATTACTCAGCATCATGGTTAGTTCGGTAAAACCAAACTTCAAATGTGAATCAGCTACACTTACCAGATCCTGTGTCATAACAGGATGGCTAACCATCGCCCCCAGCATTTTATAGGGTAGCTCTGAAATGAGACTGAATACTCTGAGGCTCCGGAAAAGATCTTTCCTTTCCACCACCACCTTAAAAGTTAGCTGCTTCGGTATTACTCCCAAACTAGTTTCAACTTTTCAAAAACTGGTCTTTTAAAGCTTTCCTATTTTGCATCATCATGTTTTTATTCCAGTGTAATAATATACACCTCAGGAAACTTTTTCTCAGAGTCAAATATATGGTTAACAATTGCAGGATGACTAGTACAGCAAACGTTACTGTGCGCTAAATTTTAAAGATGCTTATATCACATCAACTGCACAATTTTAATAAAATATTTTGAAATCACTCTATATTCAAATGAGTATTTGCTATTGATGCAGTTCGTAAAAAGTAGTATATTTACAGCCTAAACTCATGTCTTCCAGCTGCTGGTGGCTGTGAACATTCCTTCATTTGGGCTGCATCAGTCCAGTCTCTGCCTCTGTGGTCACACTGCCTCCACAGCTGTCTGTCAGTCTCCCTCTGCCTCACCCTTAGGAGGACACTTGTCATTGGATCCAGGGCTCACTCAAGAGAATCCAGGATAAATTCTTCCTCTCAAAGCCCTAACTTAATCACACTTTTGGCTACACAATATTCACTCTTTTACCATATAAGGTGATGTTCACAGGTTCCAGGGATTAGCACATGGACATATCTTTCTAGGGGCCACCATTCAGCCTGCTACATGCACTCTCCACACTCAGCAAGCCAGTCTTCTTGCATTCTTCCCAAGTCATGTCAGTCTCCTTAGGGACCTCACTCTATCCCCTGCATTCCTACATATACTCACCAATTCTCTAAATGTTTTCTCCCCACCCCCACCCTGCTCCCACCCTGCCCCATCCAAACTGGCAAACATTAAGCTTTCTTTGGTTAGGATCAGCTCTGACTCTTTTTCTGTGAGGCTCTGGCTGACAGTCACCCTCTGTCCACACGTCACTTTTCTTCTCCAAATTTCTGGAACATATAGTAGATATCACACTGAATTTATATGTTATACTGTTTGTTTTTTCAGTGGCCTCAGATTTAAGTTCTGTCTCGTCTAAGTAATGTGAGCTTCACAGGCAAGGAAGCTGTATTTTCAATTTCTTCTCCAATCCCTTCTGTATCCAGCCCAGAGCTAGGCATTTAAGAGACATTTATTAAAAAACTGATAATTGAATAAATAAATGCAAAGAAAAATGAGTAATGTTTTGCAGTTGATTTAAGCTGGTAACACTACCACCACCACCACCACCAGCTTATATAAGTTGTTAAAAAAAAAAAAGAGGAAAACCAAACCTCTCTTACAAGGGATATAAAATCTGAAAAACGAATCAAAAACTCATTATTTTACCACCATTTTTGCACTTATTTATATCCTAAAGCTCCAATTAAGGCAACTAATAAAAGTTTCCAGTTGTTAAGTCTAAGAGAGTTACTGCATTTGCATGAAGTGGAAGCACCGGCCTCAGCTAAAAAGGAAAATAGCAGGAGAGCTTGTTTCACTTTTCTTTTGAAAACACAGAGTGAAACGTTATCTCCCACTGATTAAAGAAAAATAAGACAGATATGAGTGTGCGCAGCCACTGCTCTTTACCACTTTAAAGAAAAAATAAGCAGCTACACTTTCATTTGGTGTTAAAGCTCCCATAACCTTCTTCACAGCTGTTGGTTAGGCTTTTTCTCTTATTTACCAGATCTTCAGAAAGAGAAAAGTCTAATCACATCTTCCTGCTGCTAACCTTTCTGCCAGTTTTTCTAGCCAACAGAGGAGAAAGAAGATCAAGCCGGCATCTATGACTGAGAGTTAACTCCTGCCTCTCCTCTCCCAGCCTCTAACCCACTCCCCACCCCAGCTATTACTGTGTGAAGCTAAATATCACACTACATATATTCTAGCAATGCCCCAAACTGGTACAAACTCAGTACAAGTGGTCTACAGGCATATTTCATTTTACTGAACTTCACTTTACTGCATCTTTTTTTTATAAATTGAAGGTTTATGGCAACCCTGCATTGTCAGATGACAGTTAGCCTTTTTTAGCAATAAAGTATTTTTAAATTAAGGTATGTACATTGTCTTTTTAGACATAATACTTTTGCACACTTAACAGACTACAGTATAGTGCAGACTTAACTTTTACATTCACTGGGAAACCAAAAAACTCGTGTGACTTGCTTCATTGTGGTATCTGCTTTACTGCAGTGGCCTGGGACTGAGTGTAGAGCGTCTTGGAGCTGCGCCTGCGCGCTTAACTGTCTTTGCTGCTTTCCTACCCACCTCTTCCTCAATCACTACATTGCTGCCTCTGCGGATCACTGCACTGAAACTTCTCTCTAAGTTCATAAATAATCCCCTATTTTCCAAGTCCAATGGATACTTTTTCTCTACTTATTTCACTTGATCTTTTTTTTTTTGTAGCATCTCATATTGTAGACTAAATCCACACTTAAAAAAATGTCTCCTCCCTTAGATGGCATAACAACCCTTTCCCCCTGGTTTTCCTATTCAGTTCATTTTGCTGAGTCCCATTCCTTGGCCTCTTTAGATCATTTTAGTTTAGGGTTCTGTCTCTTCAGCTCTCTCTTCTATCCACATTCTTCATCCTTCAAGGATTATACGCATGCTGCATCAACCACAATCTGTGCTGCAGTGGTCTCTAACACGGTCTTTAGCTCAGGCCTTTCTTCTGAGCAACCTAATCACACTGGTGAGGAGTCACAGAGGACTAGCACTTATTTTGAACCAATTATGTACTAAGTTCTTTTAATACGGCTTCCATATATATTACATTTAATTCTCACACTAACTCAATAAAGTTTTATTAACACATCCAATTTACAGGTAATGAAATACAGTCCTGAAGAGTTTTAATAATCTAACATAAATCATAGCAATATTTTCTTAGATCAGTCTCCCAAGGCAAAAAAAAATTAAAGCAAAAATAAACAAATGGGACCTACTCAAACTTAAGAACCTTTCGCACAGCAAAGGAAACCATCAACAAAATGAAAAACAACCTAAGGAATAGGAGAAAATATTTGTAAATGATGCAACCAACAAGGGGTTAATATCCAAAGCACAGAAACAGCTCTTACAACTCAATATCAAAAAAACCCAATCGAAAAATGGGCAGAAGACCTAAATAGACATTTCTCCGAAGAAGACACACAGATGGCCAACAGGCACATGAAAAGATGCTCCACATCACTAATCATTAGGGAAATGCAAATCAAAACCACAACGAGGTATCACCTGACACCAGTCAGAATGGCTGTCGTTAAAAGTCTACATATAATAAGTACTGGAGAGGGATCCTTCCTACACTGTTGGTAGGAATGTAAAATTGATGCAGCCACTATAGAAAACAATATGGAGGTTTCTTAAAAAAACAAAAATAGAGCTACCATATGGTCCAGAAATCCCACTCCTAGATATTTATCTGGAAAAAGTGAAAACTAATTCAAAAAGATACATGCATCCCAATGTTCATCACAACAGCATTATTTACAATACCCAAGACATGGAAACAATCCAAGTACCCATCAACAAACAACTGGCTTAGGAAGATGTGAAAATATATATATATATATATATATATATATATATATATATATATATATTTATTTATTTATTTATAATGGACTATTATTCAACCATAAAAAAAGAATGAAATTTGGCATTTGCAGCAACATGGAAGGACCTAGAGAACATTACACTTAGTGAAGTAAGTCAAACAGAGAAAGACAAATATTCTATGATATCACATGTGGAGTCTAAAAAATAATACAAATGTACCTATATACAAAACAGAAACAGACTCACAGACATAGAAAACAAACTTATAGTTACCAAAGGGGAAAGGGAGGAGGGGAGGGATAAATTTCCAGGAGTATGAGATTAGCAGATACAAACTACTATACACAAAATAGATAAGCAACAAGGATTTACTGCACAGCACAGGGAACCATATTCAATATTTTACAATAACCTATAATGGAAAATTATCTGAAAAAAAACATATAACTGAATCACTTTGCTGTACACCTGAAACACAATATTGTAAATCAAATATACCTCAATTTAAAAAAAATAATCTAATCAAAATCATAATAGCTTGAAAGTAGTAGAAATGAGATCTGAACTCTGGTTATGTGCCAAAATGCATGTTCTTTCCTAACTGGACTATCTGCCTCTAGTCTTGGCCTACTTCTACATCTTTACCCTAATCCAGTCTCCATATATCCCATTTAGCATTTTTTTTCTTTGAAAACACAAACCTGAGTCATCTTTTCTTTAAAATCCTCTAATAGCTCCCCAATATCTTTGGTTTTCCAACAAAATTCAAATTCTCAGGCCCCATTCCCAAAAATTTTGACTCAGCAGGTGTCTTCTTTATTCCACACTTTGAAAAATACTGACCCAAACTTCTATGCTTAACTTTCTGGGCAGATCTGGCCCCCGATTTTCTTTCCATCCCTATCTCTGCCCACACCTCGGCTTGTGCCTTATGCTCTAGCTCAGGGATCAGCAAACCACAGCCCAGCTGGCAAACCAGAGCCAGCCTGTTTTGGGAAATAAAGTTTTATCAGAACATAGACACACCCATTCATTACCTTCTGTCTACAGTTGCTTTCCAGCTACATGTATACCACCGTGGCCAGTGGCTGACTCACTCTGACCAGTCTCTCAACTGGGACTTGATGCCCTAAACCATCAGCCTGGGCAATACAGTGTGGTGGTCTTTTACCAGCTTAGTCTGCAGCAGGAACACACCTAGTCCAGGATATTTCAAGTTACTCATCCGTCCAGTCAATAAACATGAAAGTCAAATATAAAATAAGACATAAGAGTCTTCTGTCTACGATCAAAGCCTCTGAAAATCAGACATTTCTATTTTCTTTGTAATTGAATGCAGCAGGTCAGGGAGAGGAGACTTTCATAAAAACAAGCACTTTTTCCTGTCAGCTAAGGGCACAGTTAAAGTTCATTTCACATCCCATCCCACTGTCCCTGCCCTATTTCGGGGCATAGTTAGGAGCAGAGGGTAGTATGGGAGAAATAAGGCTTCAAATGTGATGCTGTAGCGTACACTTAGAATTATTAAAATGGGCATCTCAGGTGCCAACTGCACTGTGCTAGAGAGCGAGGAAGTCACTTCCAGGTAAGACATTAATAACATTTTCTGAGAGCCTAGTATGTGTTAGACTCTGGACTCAATGCTCTATATGCATTCTCTCTAATCCTCAACAAAGCCTTCGAAGAAGGTACTGACCATTTAACAGATAAAATGGAAGCTCAAAATGGTTAAATAACTTAGCCAAGATTTCTTCCTTCCCAACTAGCCTAGTAGAGATCTACTCAATCAGTATTTGAGATCTGCTAAGCACTTTCCCAAGGCCCACTTTTAGATGCCCAATCTATGTCTTGCTTTATTTTCCCACTTGAAACAGTCCGTATACTCTAGCTGGTTGCTCAGTGGAGCACACTGATTAATAAAGCCAGGACATCTAGGGTAATCTCCTCGACCCCACTCTGTTCCAGGTCAGTGCAATCACTACTACCCAGTACTCTACAATGTACCAGGTACATTGCTAAACACTTGGGAGCTGCACCCCCATTCAAATCTGTCCTGCTCCTACACCAAGAAACGAGTTGGCAAAATGTGGAGAGCTCTTGGCAAACTCATTCATCACCACTGAGGAAAACAGCTCAGAATACAGAAGCTTTATAAAGGGAGGTCCTCACAACATCCTCACGTTTCCTGACCTACTCATTCAAATACTACCTCTCTGTAACTGCTGCTCCTGCCCACTCTGTCCTCTTCCTGTTGCCCTGGCCTTGCTGTTGGCCAGTTTGTCATCTTTCATGCGCTCACCAGCACAACCGCCACACTGTCCAAGCCCCAACCCTCACTTTCCCTTATACAAGGAAAAGTGGAACCTGAGACTCCACCATCCACACATAATGTGAGGGAAAAGCATGTTTTGTTTGTGCATGTGTATGTATGTACTAAGAGGACAATACAATTTTGCAGGACTGTAACAACTAGAGCACAGAGAAAGGGAGGACTGGAGCCTTTTGTAAGGGCTGTTTCATGCTGCCTGAGTGCTGAAAGAGCAGTCCAGTCTTGCTGTACATGGCATTCCAGGATTAGTCATCCACACCTACGACATGTATTCAAAGCGAAAGCAGTGTATTCACAGAGGCACTATCCATCCAGAGACATCTGAAATGGATTTTCTTTTCCATCATCATGGAAGATTTAAGTAACTGCTAGTTTCTAAACATTGTCATAAAAACAATGAATTAATAAAGAACGAGAACTAAATTCATTTTGCTAACCTGTGAACCTAAGAAGACATGAGTTATGAATAGTCTACCCCTCAAGTTTAACTTGACTCTTTAGGCAAAACAATTAACACTTTATACCCGCTACTAAACTTTGCTTGTTTTAGAAATTAAGTCCTATGTGATTTTGTAGGCAAGTAAAATAATGCAAAATTCTGTTGTATTTTTCTGAAGACTTTGAAAAAGTTATTAACTGTTTCAAAGGTTTGAAAAGGAAACAATTGAAAATTATGCGGAATAGTCCAAAGTCTCAAAGTAAGGAAATTAAAGAACAATATGTTACATTGGATCCTTTCCCAGATGTATCTGGGAAGGATAATGGTATTCAGATTTTATTTTAGAAGTAACACTGCAAGATCAAGCTCGCAAAGGCTGTTACAGAAAATTATCTGCTTATTTTTCTGGAAAACTTTCAGACTGTCGCCTTTCTGTCTCGGAAATAACTACTTTCTATTAGGAGGGGCTTGCTACCTCACAAGTAAACTGTTCCTCTACATGAGCCCCAATTCCAGAGCACTGCGATGCGTTTTCCCTGCTGTTGCTTTTTTTTTCCAATCTCTCTGAGGATGGGTGTAACAAAAACTTGTTAGCAGCAAATGTTACTGGTTAGTTGGAGGGGAAAAGGCGACCCAAAGTAAAGAAAAGGCAATCACAAGCAGCATGCCAGAGACTGCGGACAGGAAGAGCTCTGGAAAGCAGAGGGAAGCAGTGATGTCTGCCTCAAAAACTGACAAATTCTAGAAATCTAATTCCATTTAAAAAAAAAGTCCAATTTCCTAAACATTCTAAAATGTCAATAAGCTGGTGATCAAAAAACTGACTGTCACTATCTGAAATATAACTAGACAACACTAATGTGGATAAACATAAAGACAAAAAGAACAGGTTATACCTAAACTATATGAATTAACCAGTAACAAATACTATCTGTTATCATAGAGATAAGTGATTTGGATAGGAAAAGGGGGATGGTGATGGGATATTAAGATAGATTAACAAGAAGGAATTCACTCCTTTCCTTGGAGAAGGCTTTCTAGAGGAGGTTAGATTCCAGACTCTGGACGAATAGCAACAGGAGCTTAGCAGAGTGTTCCAACCAACCACAGGAAAATAGCTCAGAGGGGGAGTGAACCGATTATATGAATGGGGCATTGAGTAACGGAGCCTGAGAGAAGAAAGGGGGACCATAAGGGGGACAGGGATGGTTCAGGGTGCCCTAGTTAACGACTCCAAAGTGGAGAAAGGCTGGAAGGGGACAAGGGAAGTCAAAAAGAAAAAGTACATTAGTTTTGTCACTTATCTGGGGAGGTAAGTCAAGGACCAGGGTTTGCACAACCTAGAAAAGCTGACAAACAGGCTTGCTCTGGGAGTGAACATTTTCCAGAGGGCCCTTGCTGTTAAAGCGTAGCACTCCGTTCCCTGGGTCACAGCTGGAGGCGTAGGGATGTCTAAGGCAGGTGTTTCTTGGGTGTTGGCATGGACTACGCAGCGGAGGCTCAGCGGCGGGACAAGCACTTAGCGACAAGCAGGCGGCGGCGGCGGCAGCGGCGCGTGCAAACCACAGGACTTACCTTACTGTCATCCATCTCGGCAGACAGGCCGGCCCGGCCGGGCGCTCCCTCCCCCGGCCCTCCCCCGGCTCAGCCGGCCTGGCCCGGCCCGGCCCCGCCCCAGGGGAAGAAGGGGATATGGTTCTGACTGCCTCCTCTCGCCTAACAGTTCGCTTCCTTGATGCCACAGTCACGGGGACGAGGGACCAGTTCAGGAATGGCAGAGTGGACCCTGGAGGCGGCCCAGAACGCCTCCCTTCGCCGCCGCCGCTGCCTCCTCCTCCCCCTCCATGACAGTCTCTGGCTGTGTTTACAGACGCCCTGGAGAGCGGCCCAGCCCAGAGGGTGGGCGGGAGCGCGGCGCGCGGATTGGCCGCTTCGGCTGCCGTAGCACCGCGGGATTCTGGGGGTTGTAGTTTTCCTTACCGCGAACTCTGCGCGGTGGACTAGAAAGGAAACTACAATGTCCACAGAGCCTCAGCCAGGCGTCTGTTTTCCTGCCGGCGAGCCCTGCGGAGGAGGGGCCGAAGCTACGTTTCCCACCCTGCGCGCCTCTGACTGTTTTGGAACCTGGGTTCCAGCGGCCTGGACTCGGGAAGGGGACGGTTGGGGCCCCGCAGAGGCAGCCCTGAAGGAGGGGCTCTGGGGCAGGCCCGACTTAGGGACACCAAAGGAACTGTGAAGATTCTTTAATTTAAAAAAAAAAAAAAAACCAAACCAAAGAATGTAAAATAGTGCAGTTCCTCCCGGAAACCATTTCGCAGTTAATACCAATGTCAGACATAGAGTTTTATTTATAGATAGATAGATAGATACATACATACATACATACATACATACATACATACATACATACATACATACATAGAGAGAGATCTCCAACAATTCCCCTAGAAAGGACACCAAATGTCCCCACGAAGACTTGCAATGTTTCGTCCTAGAAGCATTGATACTGGTTAGTCAGAAAGTGGAAACAACCTAAATGTTCAAGGGTGGATGAATGGGTAGGACAATTGTGGTATTTACATACAAAGGGATGTTATTAGTCCGTAAGAGGAATGAGGTACTGATACATCCTGCAGTGTAGATGAGACTTGAAAACATGCTGAGTGAAGAAGCCAGACACAAAAGGGCACATATGGTGGATTTCATTTATAATGACATGTCCAGAAGAGGTATATTTAAAGAAAAAGTTGATGAGTAGTTGTCAGGATCTGATGTTGGGAAACAGCAGGGAGGGATGGGGGCCAAGCATGGGGAGAGATTTGATTGTTAATGGGTGCTGGGTTTATTTTGAGATGATGAAACTGTTCTAAGATTGATTTAGTGATGGCTGCACAACTCTGAATATGCAAAAAACCACTGAATTGTATACTTTAATGAGTGAATATTATGGTATGTGAGTTACATCTCAGCCATAAAAAAAATAGAGAAGAACGTCTTGGAGTCCTGATTTAATAAAGTCAATGAGCTTGTTGTTTTGGCCTGTGTTAGCCATTGGGAACACAAAGATTTTGTTCATTAATGTTATTTGGGCAAGCCCTTTGGCTCACTTGTTTTCAAAAACTCCGACAGTGCTTTGCTAAACCCTTCCAAAATTCAACTTCAAAGTAGAGTTCTCAAATTTAGCAATAAATATACAAGACACTCACATTTGCATTTCAGATAAACAAATATCTTATTAGTATAAGTATGTCCCACACAATATTTAAGACACATTTTTAGTAAAAAAAAAAAGCATTTGTTGCTTATCTGAAAGTCACATTTGACTAGGTGTCTTCTGTATTATTTGGCAACTCCAAACTGAGGAAGAGTAATGGGAGGAAAGCTAAATTATCTCTGTCCAATCTATATAATGCGTCAGAGGAAATAAAGCAGGTCAGTTCCTCAAAAGTAAATGCCACCTAGCCAGGTCATGGGGTTGCGACTGTCCGGCCCAGGCAGGGGGCGTTGTCCGTAACCTCAAAAACTGCATTCTGGGCAGTCTCAGGGACACCTAGCCACATCCTTTCTGATGATCGGGGAGCAAAAGTCTGTGTTCGGCAGGCTCTCTCCCTCTTCCCTCATCTAAGATCCCTTGTGTTTGATGCCACCTCTACCAGCCACTTTCCACCTCCTTCTAGTCTCCTCTTCCCATGCCTTGTAAGGCTTCAGTCGGCCTCCCCAGCTATGCCCTTGCCGCTGCTAAGCCCTCTTCTTTGGGGTGGGACTGCTTCTCCCCAGTGTTTGTTCTCTGCCACAATCTCCTCCCACATCCCTGCTGACACAAGTGTGCCCAGCCCTCTGTAACCAGACCCAGTTGTTACAGGAAAATGTGGCACAAGAGGATGGCCATGTCCCAGGTCCCAAGTAAGTCCCTGGGATACGCCCCATTAAATGAGGGCCCTTGGCTTCACGCTGGAAAGAATTCAAGAGTGAATCACAGTAAAGCGAAAGCGAGCTTATTAAGGGAGATACACAGAGTGTATAGGCAGAATGCAGGTCGTCTCAGAAGGCAAGAGAGAGCAAGGTGTGGGGTTGTTAGTTTTTATGGGCTTGGTAACTTCATATTGCTAACAAGTGGGAGGATTATTCCAGCTACCTTGGGCAAGGGGTGGGGATTCCCAGGAATTGGGCAACCACCCACTTTTTGACCTTTTATGATCAGCCTGAGAACTGTCATGGTGCCTGTAGGAGTGTCATTCACCATGCTATTATATTACCATGAGCGTATAATGATGCTCATGGTCTACTGGAGGTCAAATCCCCCACCATCTTGGGCCTCAAGGTCTACTGGGAGTTGATTCTAGTGTCATCTTGGGCCTAATTGGGTTTTAACCAGTTTACGTCCTCTCCTGAATGGCTGTGTCATTCTTTTAATGGTTGTGTCCTGCCCCCTTCCCTCCTGTCTCACAATCACCAGCCCCTCAGGAAGGAAGACTAGGACCTTTTGAACCACACAGTGGAAATGCGAACACGTGCAGGGAAAGCAGTAGGTACGCCAGCTTCAGGAGAGTGGTTTTCTCTAGGGAGGGGGAGAGGGGTGGGATGGAGAGGGTCTTGGGTGATTAGCTGTTACTTAACTTTTAAAGAGAAGAAGCAGATATGTTAAATCTCATGGTGGAGTGTATGTTGTATTGTTTTCCTCGCATTTCTGTACATTTGAATTATTACACAATTAAAACAGGACTTAAAAAAACTATAAACATGCTTACTTTACAAAGTATGAAAATACTTTATTAAAAGTTTAATTTATAAAAATAAACCTTAATCACATCATAGAATTAGACTTTGTAAAGGGGAGAAAATCTTATGAAGAAGTATTGTGCAGTCATATGTTAAACACTTGCTGAGAAGGACCCAGAATTGGTAACAAAGAGGTGAGGAAGAACAAAAGAAAGTATAAATCCCCAGGGAGTCTATAATCCAGGAAGGAGAAATTCACACATGCAGGAGACCAGGAATAATCACTAAACAATACAGATTAAGTTGAATATCTATGTGCTAAATTGTTCAAAGTGGGTATGGAGAACCAAGCTTCAGACTGATTCATGGGAAAGGAATAGTGAGCCCAGCATTTTTTTTATTTTAAGAGGAGTGGGAGGAAGCTTAGATGAAGAATATACTCTCAGGGTCCTGGACATATTTTTATATCCATGGTTTTCAATCTTTTCTTCTTATATTGCCTTCTCCAAAGGAACCTCCAAAGCATGCGGTTCTTTTAAAAATGCATGTAATTTTCTCCTCCCTCCCCTCCTCACCTCTTTCTCCCCAGCACACAAACACACTTCCTGTACTCTCAGACACCCCACGTAGAGGCACTGTTGGCCTGTGTTGCATGAGTCGCTGCTCTTGCTGTGGAGTTTCTCGTAGTGAATTCCTAAGCAGCGTGGCACACCCACTCCCACTCTATCTGCATGCCTTCCATGCCCTCATCTCTCTTTCTCCTGTTCCCCTTACTGCTTGGCTAAAAGAGCACAGGTGTCTAAACAGAGCCAAGATGATCGTGTTACTCCCTGGGCCACATGGGTCTGCTTGGCACACAACCCCCTGGGGAACATCAGAGAGAAAGGAAGCTCATTAAAATAGCTTGTTAGGCTCCAGCTGGCTTTCCATTAAGTTTGACACATAAGAGTCTATTAATTTAAAAATGATCCAGCCCTTTCCAATCGTTCCATGGAAATGAAAATTGTTTGATTCAATTCTGGCAGGCAAATTTTTGCTAGACCCATCTCTAATCTAGAAATAGAAAAAATTAAAAACAAAACCCGCCAAGAAAAAAAAGAAAGGTAGCCATGAAATCTACCATGGTAACTTCTGACCCATCTTAACATACACTAGACATTTGGGGAAGAGGGTATCCCAGAGTCACCCCAGAAGTGACCCATCATTACTTCTCTGTCCCTGGCCTGTCTTTTCAAAGAGTTGATCATCTGTGGCTGAGTGATAAAGATTTTTAAAACACAGCATGGTTGTACAGTGAATCTGTGGACAGTTCTGATTATAAGAAAGAGACTGAAAAAGAAAAGGAGGAAAACTATTCAAAGGAAAAAACAAACCACCGATTGAAGAGAGACAGGGGGTGGCATGAGATTAAGTGAGGAGGGTAAGGGAACAAAAATTAACCTTATTTCAAAACCACAAACAAGGGGAACAGTACAATATTCTACATTCAGGAATGCCATGGCTACGTTGATATGTAAATCTGGCACTCAAACAACAGAGTATTATTGCTGCTGATATGGTGATCTTCAGAGGTACAGAGAAAAAGTGGGTGGGTCATGTGAAATTCATGAAATGCTTGAGGTGAACTCACTGTTAAAGTATTAGTCATGTTTTGTTTTGTGTGTGGTTTTTTTCCCAACGTATTTTACAGATAAGTATTCCTCTGTCCTTTCTGTTTCCAAAAAGTTTAGCTTATTGTCATGAGGCTAGAAAAAAAATTCCATCTCAAAAGTTTGGTTCTGTTCAAAAGGCATTTTGCAAAGTGCCCCCTCCTCCCTTGGCCCACACGGACAAATATGCCTACATTTGCACACAGCACAGTACCTATTTACTCTCTGCACTGGCAAGAAAGTTCAGAGGCAAGAGCCCAAAGGAACATTTTTAGGGTGAGCGCATAATTCGGCCTTCAGCTTGTCAGAAGGAGCAAAATAAATAAATAATGCCAAGAGGGACCTAAATAGTCTGTTGAGGAAGGAAAAAGAGACCCAATCAGCATAAAAATAAGGAAGAGAAAATGAAGCTCAAGGAACCAAAACCTCCCAAGTTCAAACTTTCCCTTACCTCTTCCCCTTCACAAGCATGCTGAAAGCGCCACCTCTAACTCAGCAATAGCTTTTCTCAATATTGTCCCAACTACTTTTTCTACTTA